TATATATATATATAGATATATATAGCAAAATTTGCAGTCATGAATGTAGAAACCATGCATTACGAATTGCTTAATTCTGATGCTCAGATAGGGCAATCCTACATGCCCAGATTCAACAAACATGTGGAAAATCTTCTATTTGCTGAGAATTTACAAACTGATTTTCTCATACCTGTTTCCTTGCAACTGCGTGCTCATCTTTACCTGCCGTCAATATTTAGTTTGCCCAGCAATTGCAGCACAAATATTTGACAAGCTCTGTATATTTAGACAGCACATATACAGAATGTCACTTCATATTCTGAAAAGAATCGGACAGGCAAAGATTTCAGCCTCTCATTGGTCCTTGTCCTGGTTGTGCGAGTGAAATATTTTCCTTCCCGGTGAACATGGTGGGATTGCCAAGCCATACAGCGTGTCCCCAAGGGCAGAAGATTGCTAACTATAACCAAGCTTGGGAGTGCTGAATTCTTGTGCAAAGCATGGTTCTTATAAGGATGGTTGTTTCATATCTTACTCTGCCCCCTGAACCAGTAACACAGACAAAGCGTTTTATATCTGTGCCATACTAGAATGCTTACACTACACGTCGACAGTAGATCAGGCTGGCATTATATCAAGGTTCTCATTATTAATGTAAGGCCTCAGCAGGCTTTTTTATTCTGTTTTATGGTGTTAAAAATAAAATGTGCCATGGAAGAGTTATCTGTTCAGCACAGAGTGCACCAATGGGTTAGGGTAATATCCTTGGTTTCATTACCATATTAGAGATAAGTGAATGGATCAGGCAAATCTGTTTTCCAGCCATTTACAATTTTTAATTTCTACCTCATGGCACACCCCTCCAGCACCTCATATATTATATATGAATGCTTTTTGGATTTGAGTGCAGATATTTTTTCCGGTTCTGTTGCATAGTTTGTGGGTTGTTGTTGACCAGACCTGCTTCTGAAGCACTCTTTTAATTGTGCCAGTTAGCCCTGCATTGGCACTGTATGTCCATTAAAATAAGTGATGTTTATGTAAGTATTTGACATTATGGCAAGAGAAGGATCACTTTGACACAGTTGGCCAGCTTGAATATGTAGTCAACAATGTTAATGCAGACTGTGGTAGCAGTGTTTAAAGGTTAAATGAGAATCTTAAAAACCAACTCAGGGTTGGCCTGAGTTGATCACATAACTTCACAACCACACTTAGCTTTCTCAGTACCTGTTTATTTACCTTCAACTTCATAGAAAATAATACTGTTTATACAAATTGCAATATCTGATAGCTGACTATAGAACCAATAGAATAGAGTGCGTGTGCTTTAGTTTCTGGTTGCACTAACGTTCCAAAAATGCGAACAGATCTCTATAATGGAGCAAATCATTCTGCCAGTAGTCCCATAGATTATGTAAGCGATCCTTTCCCATTTGGGCCACACACAAATGTATACATTGGAGAAATATCCTGATAACTGGTCCTCAAGCTAAAGTAGCTGGACCAGCCTGCGTGTGGCTGGGCTTTATTCTTCTTATAACAGGACAACTAAAAGGTTGGATGTTATTATGTCTTTGGCAGTCCAGCTTTGACTTTTACTGTATTTGTTGCCCCATGACTACTAAAATGAAATCTGATTATCTTTCTTTACAGAGATGCTTCTTTCGGAAATTGCACATATAACCTTACCATACTGGACTGTTTGCAGGGAATCCGCAAGGTAACATTTATTGTCCTTCTTTTATACCTTGAGTTATGCATAATTATCCTATGGGTACCATACAAGAAACATCATTTCATACAACAGTTTAATGTACTTTGAACTCTAATGCAGTGCTAGATTTCTGGGTTAGAAATGTACCTTGTCATCATTTAAATACATATGTCCTATGAATAAACCTGTCATGAGAGAATAAGGATGCTGCCTTTACTAGTAAAATATGAATCTCTGATTCTGAACAATTATGTAGCTAAGACTTTTCTGGTCTGTAGTCATCTGGGTCATTGACTCAGAAGTCAGTGTTGAAGCCAGTGGATCAGCATAACAGCCAGTAAACTGACGCTGGCCGTACATGGCTTGAATTTCAGACGATTTCTGCTGAATTGGCCCACATTTGAGCCATTGACAGCCCTGCAATCACTACTCGTCTCAACAAAAGCCACTGTCAGAATACAATAGAAGCAGCAGGGGATTCCTCAATCAATTTACCCCTCAGGTTGAACAAAAAAAACGTGTATATCTGGCTTTGCTCAGGGAAGGGAATGTACAAGTTTGAACTCTGATTTCTGAAGTCAGAGCTCAGCCATTGCCTGTCTCCACCCTATATTCACTCATGTTGCAGTGTGAGGCTCAGGGCATTGAATTGAGGGATGTAAGGAGTTGTGGCAAAGATTTCATATGTTGCATTTGACTTCAAAAGCATGAACATAATTGCTGCTTTTTCAAATGTTAACCAACTTTATTACCAATATTTATGTTATGGGTGGAAAGTAGAGTATCTGAGTAAAACTCACAAATGTGGGAAGTAAAAAAGTCCCAGTTCTCATGCAGGACTGTACGTGCTGAAACAGACGTAAATGTCCTGAACATGGCTATACAAACGAGACAAATTAATACTAACATTTAAAATGTATTTAACTTTTCATTTTTTATTGATGTCAGTGGCAGTGTTAGAAACTCCAGATGAGTTTATAACTTTATTGGACTGCTTCCTGAAGCCTGCCTTATTTATCTGTCTTAGGTAAAAAGTGTGTATATACTTAATTACCCAACTATGGTATTAAAAATCATATAGGCAAGTATAGGCATACAAGTTCCCCTGACAATTAAACTGTATTGTCCTTGCAAAGGCTTGTCAGGATAGCTTAGGTGAAGGAATTATGTGAGTGTTGTCACGGTGTTGCAGCTGAAATAGCCATTTTAATTTGGATTATGGCATTAAGATTGTTTGCTAAGCAACTGAGAGTCCCAGACTCTATAATAGTGCAGGATCCCAATTTCATACATTATGGTGAGCAAACCAATGTATGGACGAGGAGGGTGCTAAAGTGACATTACGGGTGTTCATGAACATGTAAATTGTATACATCAACAGCATACTTTTTCTTCATAAAGAAATTGTTTGATTTGAAATCCACCATATAGAATAATGGCACGTTTTCACTAAGGCAGCAGTGACCCGATGTTCTGTGTTAACATAAACACTCATAAACGACAGTCCAAAGTTATAATGCAAGCAGATTGTTGTTGAGGAGACACGGTTTGATAAAACATAGAAATGGGAGGTTATATAAGAGGTTAGCATCTCTCTCTCTCTCTCGAATATTATAATAAACATGTTGAAATAAGACCTAATATGAAGGAGAATATGTTATAAAGGAATCAGAGAAATCCTAGTAGATGAAGTATGGATAAATCTAGAGTAATAAATATCATATTGGAGTAAAAGTATTCCTTAAGTATTTTACAGGACAGAGGAAAAACAAGCACAGATATCATGTGATCTATAATCTACGACTAAAAAAAATCCTAAGGAGGCCTATTAATGTGCAGTGTCAGGTTTAGGGTATGGTACCATCTTAGCAAAATGTTAAGAACAAAACAAAAACAAAAAAAGATAGAAGGTCTTTAGAATAGAAAATAAAATAAATGTATTTACAAACTATATTTTGCTGCACCATTGCACTAATTTTGTTGCTATTTCTTGATAAATTGCACATAACCTCTCTATATACAGGGGTCTATTCACTAAGCTGCCGAAGGCAGTCGAGTGAACAACCGACCCCAAGTGAAGTGAGCCAAACACTGTTCGGCTATTCACTTCAGGCTTGTACGGCTGATTTCAGCCATATATCGGCTGAAATCAGCCGTACATTGGCTTGCTTCGCATGGCTTCGGGTCGGCCGAACATGCTCAGCATGTTCAGCCGACCCAAAGTGCAGAAGGAGTTTGACTCAGCCGATCCAACATCTGGATCAGCTAAGCCGAACCTCCGGCAGGCTACTCGCTGCTGTTCGGCCTATTCTCATAGATGCCGAACAGCAGTGAGTGAATAGCCGAATGCTGCCGAGCGGCATTCGGTTTGGCAATCCTGCTCGATACCTCTGTGGAATAGAAAAATAGTTAAAAAAGTAGAAAAAAAAAGAATGGAAAACTGTTTTCTATTGGCCGGGCGGTTCTGCTGCCATCAAAATAAAAAAAAGAAAGAAAAAACTCTCCCCTTTCACGGACGCTCTGGGAGTCTCCTGCTATTATATAGCGGCTCCCGGCTGCCCGGGAGAGAAACACTTTCTCTGGGAAAGTTTTACTCTGCTCGTTCGAGCAGAGTAAACCTTCCCCTGCTCTGTTGTCTTTTTTTTTCTTTCTTCTGATATGGGAGCCGTTGGCTCCCATCAGAACAAAAAAAGAAAAAAAATAAGCATAGGAATGCATAGTTACATTTCTATTGGCTGTTTCAATTTGCAAAAGCCAATAGCAAACTAGCTATTGCACCCGCCCTCTGCTGCTGTCAATCACTTGAGGGGACCTGATTAGAGAACTGCAGGTCCCCTCTGCTGATTGACAGCAGCAGTGGGCGGGTGCAATAGATAGTTTGCTATTGGCTATTGCAAATTGAAATAGCCAATAGGAATGTAGCTATGCATTCCTATGTAAGCTACGGCTAGATCCTTCGGCAGCTTACTGAATAGACCCCACAGTAGATATAAAAACTACCCAAAAATGATTTCCCATAAAAAATAACAAGTTCATAAAAGCTGAAAAGTAACTGGTTGTTCTAGGTTGCAGAACATTATCACTCTCATTATCATGCCGGTGACTATATCCTGTTATGCTTTAACTGCACATCGGATAACTTTTCTGTCTTAGTTCATGACCTAATGTATATTTAACTCATATCAGACTGTTAACTCATATCAGACTGTTACTATCTGTAAGGTACTGATTGCCTCCAAGCGGGGACAAGTGTTATTGCAACAGAAAGAAGTGTGTCTTTACTATTATTCTGGGGAAAATAATTTCCCCATTACCTAAAGCCTCAACAGACAGGCAGCTAAAATTATTTAGGAGGAGATCAGCAATGGCAGTACCCTCTTTTATCTCATCATGGGTCTACTTTAAATAATGATGCAGGTTGTTATTTCTTTAGAAAGTGTGGTCAGATTGACATTGCTTGTAGATTTTTATGATTCATGCAAACGTGTCCCTATTAGCTATTATAATTATAGTTTAGTGCAGGTCTTGGCATCTGTAAAAATGATTAAATCTTTGTATGTAGATATGCCCATAGGCAAGGTAGATTCCTGATCTCCAATGCGGAATTATAGTCAGTGTAAATTTCTGACATTGGAAAATCTTCATGAACTAGAAGTATTGACATACCAGATGTACATCTCATACAGTTTAGACTGAAATGAAAAAAAAAATAAGGATAAAGAAATACTATTTAGTACACCTAATTAGAGATGATCTATTACATGTCTTTTTAGTCTGATCAACATAAACATTGAATAACTGATCTCTCATTATTCTGAACGACTTTAAAACATTCTATTTTGCATGTGTCATCAAGTTAAGCCTAGAATTACTCAGTCACTCATTGACTTTTGGTCTCTATTTCAGGCACTTCATCTTGGGTTCTTTAATTTTGAAAACTTTGATGTGGATGAATATGAACATTACGAGGTGAGTTAATCCCTTTACATCAAAAGAGTGACATAATCACTAGAGCATACAAGTATTAAATATGACTGCGTTTTGTAGCGATTACAGTGATCATGTGGGACACTGGATGGGGATCTGCAGCTTGTTATAGGATTGCTTTGTTGTTTACAGAGGGTAGAAAATGGGGATTTCAATTGGATCGTTCCCGGAAAGTTTTTGGCATTTAGCGGTCCTCATCCGAAAAGCAAAATTGAGAATGGTAAGTTACTATGAATTGCTTAACATTTTATCACATTTAAATCTAGAATTTTTACCCACCACCAGTTCTGTTGCATATATTACATCAATGTATACTTACCCCTGCCAAGCTGTCATTTAGTATTTCTTTTATTGCAGACTGATAAGATAGCTCAAAATAGTTTTGCAATAAAAAAGAGGCCAATGCAGAGCTTGTCAGTCAGTGTAGCCAACCAAGCATGTGCTTCCCTCATCAATTACATTGACAGTGAGATGTAGTGTAAACAGATTGAGAAAATATTTGTATTGATACTAAGCAATGTTAGCATACAGGACTAAAGACTTTGTAAAAGGTGGCAAAACATTGGACTTACAACAGCACAAGAAGGCACATTCAAATATTTGTTGATTTCCTTGTGTGCCAGTTGTGAGTCTATGAATGTTTTTTAGGCATTTTACACATGTAAGTCTATGAATGTTTATTGACCAAATTGTTGTAAAAAACAAAACAAAAAACTAATTCGATAAAAAGGAAATGGAAAAGGAAAGTGGACCTTTCAAAATCTTTACAAGAGTGAACGAATACATTCCTTACAGGTCACAAGCTACAATTTTTTTAAAACTCTACTTTATATTATCATCAAAAAACAGTCTTTGAGCTCCAGGCAAGTGACGTTGCCTAAGCTGATGTGGTGTTTTGAGTTTGCTGTTGCCTGGAAGAAGCATTTTCTCAGTCTCCTCTTCTTCATTGGTCAGACTGTGACATTGTAACATTGTGGAAATTCAGTAGGCGAGAGCCAGCAACAGGGACTGATCTGTGTCCAATCTGTAAATACAACCAATAACTTTACAGGCATCAGGATGTTAGGAGCATGTCTAATGCTGCTATGGCTGTCACAACCTCTCTGCAACTTTTGGTGGTTGCTTGTTGCCACTGCACCTATCCCAGACTTCTTGTCAGCTGTGGGCTAATGAGTCTGGTATATACCTTCAGCACCTCTCTGTCAGCTGTGGGCTAATGAGCCTAGTATATACATTCAGCACCTCTCTGTCAGCTGTGGGCTAATGAGCCTGGCCATATACCCTCAGCACCTCTCTGTCAAATGTGAGCTAATGAGCCTAGCCACACACCTCTCATCCATAGATTGGTTAGTGGCACTTTATTAAAGCATCACAAGGCCAGGGCTCTTGGCTTGTGATAGTTCCGTCTAGTCCAGTCTAGTTCTGCTTAGTTCTGTCTAGTGCTGTCTGCTTAAGCATGTATTCTGCCTCTGTAAATCTTGATCTTGTATCCTGTTCCTGTCTTGCATTCTCTTCCTGTCTTGTACTGTATATAGCATTCTCTTCCTGTCTTGTATCTTGCCGCCGGTCCTGACCTCAGCCTGTCCCTGGAAACCTGTCCACTGCCAGTCAGTACTTCTGCTTGTTACCTGGGGCCCACCTGCAACAATATACAGTCAGAGCACATAGTATTAAGTGCCACTTGCCTTAAAGTGACATTAAAGTCACAATACCCCCCCCCCTGCTGCTTTAAGGACTTACCTTAAATTATGCCTCTTGATCCGATCATCTTCTTTTCAGTAGTTTTCAGGAGGCCCTCCAGCGCTGGTGCTAGTCTCTGATCCAGTGCTGACTGCTGTGTCCCACGGTGTCTGTCCTCATGCACGCTCCCGGCTGCGTGCATTGACTTACACTGTGTCTCTTTATTTCTCCTGGCCGAAGATCTCTACTGCGCATGCGCCCACCCCATGATCCTAGAGAATCTTCAGATCTTCAGACGGGAGCGCGCGGGGGAGACACAGGCAAGTAATAATTACCTATTTGGTAACGTTTTTTTTAAATTAATTTTTTATGTTTTTGCATATTTCTACTACTTGGTAACAGTAGATATATGCAAAAAAACCACAAAAAAACGAGTGTTTAATTCTATAGCCTCTGACTGAAGTGTCTGCATCTGGTCCTGACATACTTGTGCCATCTCTGAGTCTGTATCACAGTCCAGGAAGTACATGCTGACTGTTGATGATATCTGAACAAGTATAATTTTGTAGAGAAAAGAAAATGAAGTCAGGGGGAGTACTGCGATTTCTGTGAGCGATAATAAATACCTGTAACTGTTACACGTACACCTTGCTTTGCATGTACTTGACATGAGAAAATATATATGTTGGTAGGTCAATCATACGAGATTGCACTGGTCATGTAACCCTTTAATTATGGTCACAGTAAATGAATAATATAATAATAATGGTCATGTATGGACAAGCTGAAAAATAAGAACAAAATCTGTTCTGTCACCGTGGGTTGTGCCATCATTTTTTCTTTACCTTCACTTTTAACTTTCAGTTTTTGTGTTGTTCTATAATGATATCACATAGTTCCTAAAACAAGTATGTTGTAATGTCTGGATAAAATCCTCTGTTGTTATCTGTTCAAATAAATATTTGTATAAAACTTCACATAAACCTACCAAACTATTACAAAAACTAATCATGTCAATATTTCTCTGAAGGTTACCCACTGCATGCCCCAGAAGCATACTTCCCATATTTCCGAAAACAAAATGTCACCACTATCATCAGGCTCAATAAGAAGATTTATGATGCTAGACGGTTTACAGATGCTGGATTCGACCATTATGATCTATTCTTTGTGGATGGGAGCACACCTAGTGATGGCATAGTGCGGAGGTTCTTGAACTTGTGTGAGAACACCGATGGGGCTATTGCCGTTCACTGCAAAGGTAAGCTGAAAAGTAATGGAACGTGTTCACTTCTGTATGATAGTGGTATAACCAGCACCATGAGAGCAAACATGGTTGCTATGTGGCGTAAGGACGAGAAGGCCTGTGCAGGAGTTCATTAACCTTACTGCTTACACCTCCTCAGACAAATACTTGGCATACCAACGGTGCTGCCTGCTCTTTATTTACAGCTTTTAGTTTAATTCTTACTACTTCATAGGTTTTCTATTTTTTAATTGGAAAGATTATTATTATTATGCAGGATTTATATAGCACCAACAGTTTGCACAGCACTTTACAATACAAGGAAGATATTACAATTACAATACAATTCAAGACAATATGGTAAGGGGGGCCCTGCCCGTGAGAGCATAAAGATGTCTTTAGTAGATTGTAAAACAGACTTGAACAATAAAAAAAGATACAACAGCCAAAGAGATAAAGCATTACACTATGTAGATCATCACACAGAAAAAAACAAATGCAGTATGAGTACATAAAAGAAAATAGTTCTATAAAAGTAGATTAGCAAATAGCCGTGATACAAGGCTGTCACTGCTATTGACAGCCTTGTCAAAAGCAATAGCGGGAAAGCCTCAGTAGGTAACAATAAACTAAGCAGTATTTAAAAATCTGTTGGCCATTTGCGCCCCCACTGAAGCGTGCCCAAAAAACACCCAATATTTTGTAAAGCTCTGTCCTGTCCTATTGCCAGGATGAGCCAGTTGTTGGACGCCTGCCCCCAGCATCACATTAGTGTACACCATCCAAGTTCAGAGCCCCATGCATGCGCAGAGCAGCTGTGGTGATGGAGAAGGAGCACTCTGTAAATTTGGGGGGGAGGTGGGTGATCTTCCAACGGCTGGCTCATCCTGGCAACAGGACAGCATGGAGCTATGCAGAATATTGAGAGTTCTCTGGGCTGGCCTTGATGAGGATACACATTGCCTACAGGTATGGAGAATACATTAATGAAGATTTTAAAAAATGTCTTAGTTCATTGTTCCCTATGGGAGCTTCGTGACTGCACAGGCTATTTTGTTTAACAAATGTGAACTAACCCTTTAAGCTAACAAGAAACATATACTGTTAAGTATAATGTTACTGTTGTAGAACAAAGCTGATGAGTGCGCCATTTGATAATAAAGGTAACTACAGTAATTTAAAGTGTATTTCCACTTTTGCAGTCAAATTTAGGTAAACTCCTCCATATGTTTGTTATGTGTTCCTACTCACACAGCATACTGAAAAATAACTTTTAAAAAAATGTCTTACCTTTTTAGATGTTTTGTTAAATCAGGCAAGATGGCTGATTCCAGGTTTTTCTTAGCCCTTTTACAGTGGTCTGCCCCAATGGAAAGTCTTGGGACTGAAATTTGAGGATTGTGTTTATCTGATAAGCTTCATTAACATACAATGGGCAAGCCACCTTAGACCCCTCACCCCTCACAGCCCCTCCTGACATTTTCAAAGAAATAGAAGCAAGAAGGATTTATTATTATTTTTTTTTAGCTTCTGCTATGTGATTTGGAACATGTAACAAATATAAAAAGGTGTTATCCCAATTTGGCTGCAAAAGTGGAAATACACTTTAAAGCTTGTACTGTGCGATTTCATCTTTTTTCTTACACATGTACACATGCTCTATAGGAAGAGGAGTATGTGCGAGTTCACCTTGGTTAGTTGTCTTGGGGTGATAACTTTTCTATCTTCTTAGAAATGGGAAATACAGATTATATTAACATAGTGATGAATTTAGAGCATAACTAACAATGTTTCATTCAGTCAGAGGATGATGAACATCCACAAGAGTACTAGATGTAACACCCACTATTGAACCATAGCTCTGGATGGAGCAATGTTGTTTCTGTTTCAGGAGATTGTGCCTTCTTCCATTATTTGACCATTGGAAGCATTGCAGTAATGGTTCAGTGGGTAAACTTCTCTGTGCCCTGAAGCAAAATGTGTAGTAGAGCGTATGATAGCTTCCTATTAGTGACATGTAATATACATACAAGTGATTTACACATGTTGACACACTTGTGAGTATGAAAACCTCTTCTATTCAATAGACAATAGACACACTTTAAAAAGAATGTATAACCAAAAGCATTTTTTCTTGTTTTAAATATAGTAGGGAAGTTTTTTTTTTTTTGCTGCTTACAGATCAGAATACTTTCTATTACTTCCTGTCCTGGAGGCGCAACAGGAAGTGAGAGGCAATCTCTACTAAAGCTGGCCATTCACAGCTCAAATTTTGGCCAAAAACGGAGCCATGGCATGATACATTTCATTTGAAAAAATGAAGGAGCCAGGCAGAAAAAAAAGTCGTCTGAATAGTGACTGCAGCCAATCAGCTAGAGCCACAGTCCAGGTATTCTAACAGCTGCGGTTGTCGGCTGTCTGATTACAATAGCCAGCAGGGGATATTCATCCTTGCACACTGTTTAGCTTGGGTGGGTATATCGAGTGAAATTGTTACAGGTAGGGCCAACTTTAGTGAGGGGAATTCTCTTTTAGGAAGTTGTCACCAGAACAACTGTTCCCATTGGAAGATTTCTCCTTACCTCTTTTTCTGGCGACAACTCAGGAATTTTGTATTTTCCAGCATCTTCTGCCTCAGTGATAGTGGTCAACATGACAAATAGAGAGTTGGATCTCCCCAGTGAGGATACAGAAAGACAACAAGTTGAAAAGTTGACAAGGGTTCTAATATTTTCCTGCGCTATTCAATATTTACTAAAAAAGATATGACAATACACATCCAGTGTACCGGGTGACACCCTGCACCTGCAGTGACGAAATCGCGCTCGCACTTGATGACGTCACACGCTGTACTGCTGTTACCTGCCGGCGGCCATCTAGGTGATGAACAGCAGAGAGAGGAGGGGATGTTCACCCAGCGGGATAAGGTATGCCACCGGGTCCCCTCCGCTCTCTCTCCAGCAACTGTTAGGCTCTCGGTTCATGACCAGTGCTCGACTTTTCAGAGGGGGTGACACCAAAATGACTCAGTCATTTTGGTGTCACCCTTCCAATGGTGTCACCCGGGTGCAGGTCGCACCCCACTTGTGACGACACTGCAGAAGGGAAAGATCTTCAGCATTACAGAACAAGTCCAGATGAACGTGGCTAGCTACCATTATCTGTACTGTGACCTGCATAAATGAGAACCTTTACAGACGGTGGGGTTGATTTACGAACGTTGTCGAGCAGATACACTTGAATTGGATGTTTGCAAAGTGAACGTTTGCTTATTGTTGGTAATCTGGTGAAACAATGTGAAAGTCCACTTTGCAAAATACACATTTGTGTGAAAGGAAAAAAAAAAGAATCTCCCATGCATTTCAGCATCACTGGCACATTACAAACCACTGTTCATGCCGGTTGCGGCCTAACCACAATAATTTCTTGGTAGATGACCCTCCTCCATCCTGCCTAAGCCACATAAGATACCGGACAGTAAAGTCTATGTGAGCCCCCAACACAGTAAAAACAAGCACGGTGGCTCATGCATTGCGTTCTCTAACCCTTGAAATAGAAAAAAACTTTTTTTGCTTGCTTATGACTGGATAACTGAAGCCAGCGCAGCTTCACCTTATGTACTAAGCTAAGTGGATTTTCTCCTTGGTAAGTGAATTTTCACTGAACTTGGTGAATGAGGTGAGGTTGTGCTGACTTCAATTATCGACTCATATGTAAGAAAAATCCTGTTTTTTTAAGTTTCCTTGCACATGATCGTGTATTCGTTGCAAAGTGAATTTCCACATTGTTTCACCAGATTGCCAACAATAAGCAAACGTTCACTTTGCAAACTTCCAATTCAAGTGAATATGCTCTACTCCCTTAGTAAATAGGTGTCAGTGTGAGTGCCATTCATATGACTGTTATTATAATGTAAAATTGCTGCTTGGATGGGTATATTTTGAAATAACAAAATGTTATTAATCTCTTCCCGCCAGAGTAACACATAAATGTGACAGCATGGCCTTCACGCCTGCACTGATGGTTTGGCATTGCAGACCCTTCCATGAAAATGCTAGTTGCTTGGCTGTAAATGGCTTTGGACTGGAATGCCAGCCAGCTAGCATTTTCTAGGGAAGAATTCAAAAATGGCTGCCTACATATTTCTCTCAGTACAGGTTTGCATTAAAGAGAACTAAAGCCAAACCTTTTTTTGGCTTTTGTTCAATTCGGGTCACAGGAGGACATTTACTAATGTCCTCCTGTGACCCAAAGTCAGCATTTAGCGGGCCACTGCCTGATATATTCTGACAGAACAGGGCCACGCTGCAGCCGGGATATATACCGACAATATTGTCTGGATCCACCCCGATGCCTGACTGTCTGTCCCTTCAATGAGCGTTGGAGGAACATAGAGGGAGGGGGAATCCTTGTGGGGAGCGGTGACTGACAGTCATAGCTCTCTGCAAGGAGAAGATCTTGAACTGAGCGATCAGCAGCTCAGTTCTCTATCTATAGAGCCATCGTGTGACAGCTACAGTGTCACACGTCAGCTCTAAGTATTGGGAAAAGTATATTTTACTACTTTAAATTCTACATTTTAATGCTGTTCCTCCAGAGCCCACCAGGTGGTGCCACAGCTTTTCATTACGCCAATGTACTGAAAAAACTATTATTTAACTCTAGAGAGTGTTTATGAAAATGTTTCTATTCATACTCCAGTAATTAATGTGTACGTAACACTCTGCTTGGCTCCAAGTCATGTAATTACAGCCACAGGAGAGTAAATGTGTACATTATTTAGACTCTTGCTGGCACAGTGTTGTGTAATCATGTGTAATTCTTTAGCTGCTAGGCTGGGATCTATTGCAGCATGTGATTTTGTAGTCTGGCACCATGTAGGACAAAGCACAGGTTCACGGCCATTGACCCCTTCCCTTGCACCACATGCTCCCCTTTCTTTTGCTTTTTGCCAGTTTAGTAAAAAAATACTGCTGGCTGTCTTTTAAAAACCTGGTCACTAAGTGACTTGTGTAGTGAATACCCTGTATTTAGTAAAACGCTTTACATAGTCCTGTGGGTACGCATGTCATCTGTGAATGCAAAATACAGCAAGCAGTTGGGCTTCCAGTTGTAGAGGTAAACTAGTACAGGTTGCAATTAGCAGCAAAGTGAACTACAGGGGGAATTTGGGTGAAACTTTATCCACCAGTTTAGATACATTTGTGTGCATAGAGGGGCAGGATTTTGTAGCATTAGGCAGGCGCACAGACATGAACCAATGTGTGCTTATTTTGTACCTTGACATGTGCTTTGACCTGTGTAGACGCATGTTTTCTGTGTATTTTTGAATGTAGGATTTGCAGTGGATAGAGATAACAGCCATTGACCAAGGCTTGTTAATACCTGTTGCCAGTGTACCAGACCACACATTATATGCATTTTAATGCATTACCGTTCACTTCTATGGGCCTTCCAATGCACGCAGAAAAAAAAATGTAGTATTTTTAAAAATTCCCTGTGCAGCAACAGTGGATCAGACACACTCTTTACCATGGGGAACCACAACACATGCGGTTTAGTGCTTTGCAATGCATGTGTTAAAATGCAACAGTGTAAATCAGTGTAAGGACACCCTATTCTGATGCACTAAAACACATGTATTGTGGTTCCCCGTAGAAAATATAGTGTCCACAATAACTGAAATAACACTGCAGTGCATTTTTGCAAGATACTACATGTCCATTTTTTCCTGCATTTTGTTGCGTTAGGAAGCCCACAGAAGCCAATGGCAATGTATATTGCGTTTTGATGAAAACAAGTTTTAGTCAATAGTATTTCAAGTGTATTTGTTACATGTTCCCATTCACATAACATAACTTAAAAAAACGCAGCTTAACTTTTTTGGTCATCTTTCTAGAAACAACAGAACTGAAAATTCCTGCTTAGCTGTCACTCTGTAAGAGGGTTGGGAGAGATATTTTTTTGCCATAATTAACCCTGCCTGCATTGTGCTTGCAGATTTCATGATCAGTTGTAAAATAAATAAGAAGGACTATCTGTTATAACAAAGGGTTAAAGATCTCAAGACATTGCATGTTAATGTACTGTCCCTCAGTCTGTCCACTTATCCACTCATTGGCATCTTTTCTAACCACTAGATAAGGGGTGGGCAACTCCTGGCCTCCAGCTGTGCTTTAACTACAAATCCCATCATGCCTTTGCTCTGAGAGTCATGCCTCTTGCAATGCCTCATGGGACTTGTAGTTCCACAACAGTTGGAGTGCTGGAGTTGCCCACCACTGTCTGCAGTGTTCTTTGTATAATCCTGCTCCAAAGAAACAGCTAGAAAGGTAAGAAATATTAAAAAACGATCTATAGGTATTCTGTGTTCATGGGAACACATAACAAAAATATAGTGGTTTTAAAAAAAGAACATTTGACTGCAAGTGTGGAAAAACACTTTCAGATGGTAAGCTCTCATGGGCAGGGCCTTTCTAATCCTCTTGTATGGAATTTGTTTGTAGCTGTACTGTCTCCCTTTATTTTGTAATGCTCTGTGCAAACTGGTGGTGCTATATAAATCCTGTATTATAAAATAATAATAATAATAACAACGGTTGGTAACTCTTCACTCCAAATACTAATTTATAAAATGCACTGGAAACACGTGTCAGTAACACATGTCAACACGCAAAGGAAAGGCATGCTGACGCATGACACAGCACCTGCCTAACACTACAAAGCACATGCCTCTGCAAACATGCATTGAGCTAAATAAGCACTTAAGGATTTGCCCATTTCTGCCGATCAAAACACATACCCTCCCTTTTAGATTGTAAGCTCTCATGGTCAGGGCCCTCCTTAACATCTTGCCTTGATTTGTATTGGAACTGTAATGTTTTCCTTATATTGTAAAGCACTGCATAAACTGTTGGTGCTATATAAATCCTGTATAATAATAATAATAATAATAATAATAATAATAATGTAAACCCTATGCATTTCAGTACACAACCATGTGTCTGTAACAGAATTATCTGTTTTTTGATGTTCTGACCCTTTGGGGCTCATTTAAAATAGCTCCCCCCAGCGTATCACTTGGCACTAGTGCCCCTAGATGGTGCTGATGAGTATATAGATTTCCTATACAATGGACAGAACTGTTATGAATTAACCCCTTTACGTGCTACTTATCAGTGTAATAGTAGTAACAACTCAATGTAGTGTTAGGTAGGTGCTGTGTCATGCGTCAACATGCCTTTCCTTTGTGCATTGGTAGAAGGGTAGCAGATGCACTCAGCAATATGACAGTATTAGTGATGTATTTCCTCTCCAGTCTCTGGAGTGCCACAACGTAACCTTTACACTGGTGATGGCAGATTGTATGAGGACCTTGAAATGTCAGCTGCCTGCTCCATTCTTGCATGAAAAAGTTTGATAAAAAAAAAGAACTGTCTCTATTGCCAATAGCCACGGTTCAGTGAGTAGCTGGGTAACACCTACAGAAACTTTCATACATGAGTCTTAAAGCTGAACACCAGGAATTATTTGTTTATTATAATTTTTTAAAACTTACATTGATCCAGCTTGGTTACATCTAATTCTTCCTATCTTACATCTGAAGGACTGCTGGGGATACTGAAATTCACCGTAGCAGCCTGGGATACATACAGTAAGTGCTAGTCTCTTCCAGGTTCCTCAAGTGACTTGGTGTCTTTATACTGAACACAGGGGGTCACTCGCACGGCACCTCCGCCATTCTGAGAACATCTTGTATTCTTTTTCAGGGAATGCAAGGGGGGGAATTTATCAAAACTGGAGCAGATAAAATTTGGAGCAGCTGTGCATGGCAACCGATTGCTTACCCTGGGCAACTGCTCCAGATTTGTCTGCTCCAGTTTTGATAAATTCCCCTTAAGGTGTTTTTTTAATTGGATGAGGCAGAGATCATGACCCCTCTCCGTGTTGTCCAATCAAGATGTTCGCTGAAAGGTGGAAAGTGACCAACCCCTTGTGTTCAGTACACAGACTATAAGCCCCTTGAGCAGAACACTGGAGACCAGCGCTGACTGTATGTAGCACAGAATACTACAATTAATTTCTGAATCCCCAGCAGCCCTTCCGATGTGAGTAGGGCTGCAATAAATTTTCGATTAATCGGATAAAATTTTTTTAATAAATACCATCCTTAATTTAAACTGAAATAGACAAATGCAGTGTTACAAACATGAAGTTTACTTCAGAATAAAAATGCACGCACAATTTTTTGCAATTGCACTGCACTGGAATGCACGCGTTCCAGTGCGGGCTATCCCACTCTGGGTGGGAGATGCGTTTGGGGCGCCTTCGGCCTTTGTCAGGCCGAAGCCGAAAATGACCTTTTTTCCCATCTTCTATAATTAAAAAAAAAATATTTTATTGGAAGCACATGGCGCTTGAATAGCTTCAGCCAAGGAATGGCAGCTGCCAGTGGCAAAATTCCACAGACGGCAGCTGAATGTAAATACAGCAGGTAGTAGGCTGGTACAATAGCCAGCCTGCTATTGGCTATTTCAAATTGCAATAGCCAATAACAGGTTAGCTATTGCACCCGCCCACTGCTTGCTGTGCCCTCCTCCTTGCGTGGAGGAGAGAATAGATAATTAGAATAGTTGACAACTATTCTCAGAATCAACTATTATTGATTAATAGATTAGTTGGTTGCAGCACTGGATGTGAGATATAATGAATTTATGTAACCAAGCTGGACCAATGTAAGTAAAAAAAAAAAGAGAATGATCTCCTGAAGGTTAACTGTAATGTGTCTCTCTTTAAAATGCTTTCCAAAGAATTGTCACAACAGTCTAATCCTGTGCACATCTGTTTTTTTTCTCTAGCTGGCCTAGGCAGGACAGGCACTCTTATTTCATGTTATATCATGAAGCACTACAGGTTCACACACTCTGAAGCCATAGCATGGATAAGAATATGCCGACCTGGCTCTATCATCGGGCCTCAGCAGCACTTCCTAGAAGAGTAAGTAGTGTCTTAGTCTTTACCTTTTGCTGCTTCTTTGAACACAATCTTACTGTGAAATTCCTTTTGTATTCAGTATTAGAACTATTGTATACAGGATCTAAGGCAGATCCTTATTATAGTTTTTAGGATATTTTTATTTTAAAAAAAAGGAAAACATAATATTCTTACCCATTGCAACTGATTATGTGTTACTTTTCTGAGTTTGGTGTTATTCATTGAGGTCATATACTGTATATTTGTATGGATGAAAATTTCTCATGCATTGCCATGTTGAACGATTGCAATTTTAGGCTGGTATTACCATATGTCCTTGTGAAGGTCGCAGAGCTATATGAGGATGGAATGTGTACATGCTTTTATTTATACTGAATTCCATTCTGTAGTCTGTCACAGACCTGCTCCTTGTCAGCGGGCATATTCAAGTGATGGTTGTCAGTACAAATCAAAGGCATGTTCAGGTGATAGCGCTTAAAGAAGACATCTGTACAAAACTTTTCATACTGTTTTGGATGGAGAGTCATAAGAGCAGGGTCTATGTTAAAGCCTATCCTGGGGCAGAGAACCTCCCCTTGCAGCAGGGATACCTCTGGCCTGCAAGTGTTATCTGCTCTTTTATGTCTAGGGATTTGTATAAAGTAGTTTTACTTACCTGATCACTGCTACCCAGCAGTTGGCACTCACCTCTCTTCCATACTCTCTAGATGTGGACGGCCCCTTGGACCCTCACATCTAATGCAGGGCTATGTACTCTGCCTTGTATGTGATGATGTCAGTGGGCCTCCGACCACCAGAGTGCAGGGGGGTAAGAGGCTGCGGGTGCAGGTCCTCATCTCTGTGGGAGCAGGGATCATGTAAGTAAAATTCCTTCCTGATCCCCTAGACACAAACAAGCAGTGAACCCTTGCAGTACAGGGACACCACCTCTGCAAGAGAAATTTTTGTTTCCCTGGAGATAGGCTTTAACCCCTTCGTGACGGGAGACGTACACTGTACGTCCCGGCACTTTGTGCCTATATGACTGGCCACGTACACTATCTGTGACGAGTTATATCAGGCTCTGTAATGCCGGTAACTGCTGATTCTCAGAGGCTACCAGTCATTAATGAGTGCCTCAGTATTGAGGCATTCATTGATGAAATAGTTAAGCTTTTGTAAAAGCTTATTTCTTTCATTAATGAAAGAATGAAGCCGTTACATGCAAATACGGGAGCGCTAAATAGCGCTCCGGTATTTGACAGCTGAAAAAAGCAGAGAGGCAGCAGAGTGACTCACCTCCCTGCTATTTGTTTTGACAGCTCCATAGACTGGCCCGATGTTTATGAAGCTATGTGACACATCTCAAGCAAAGAGATACAAGAGATACAATGGGGTCTATTCACGAAGCTGCCGAAGGATCTGGCCGTAGCTACGGCGGATCCTTCGGCTAGCTTCGGCCCCAGGACCCCTTCGGTTCAGTAGAACCGAAGGGGTGCTGTACGGGCTATTCACTATAGCCCGTACAGCTCCTGAACATGGCCGAGCAGCTCAGTCGAGCCGAACGCATATGCCTCGGCTCGGCTGAGCCGCGCTGAAAGCCGAAGCTGGCCGGCCGACAGCCTTCTTCTGACAGCTGGGCGGAGCCAGCCGTGATCTTACGGCTGGCTCCGGCCACTTGCAGAGAGATCAGCGTCCCTGGTTA